AGAAATATATTATTACTTTATTAAAAAATATCCCTGTAGTTACAACAACTAGTTTTTTTCCGTAAGCCCCAGCTTACATGTATCAATATACCTACAATGGCTAAAAACTCTATGCTAATGTACTTTTTTAACCTTCTGATGTGCTCCTGTCAGAGCTGTCATTAACCCAACTCCAGTGACGCTTCGAGTCACGTGGTTCATCTGCACGCGCTACGAGCACGCGCTGCTGTTTTCGTCGCTGCTGGAGTTTTTATAGTCGCTGATCTTGTAAAATTTTCTGGTGTTTTAACTACAATATTGTGGTAATTAGTATTTGTGAACCTATATCAATAACTTTTTTTGAGAATTAAGTAGTAATTAAAGGAAATATTGTAATTTAAACGTATAATTATATTTTTGCGAGTTGTTTATGTCACAACTTTCCATTGCATTCAGTGATGTACGGAAATTACGATTTACGAGTAACATTAGTACAAAACACATTAGTAAGGATTCTGTATGGTCTAGTACGGGCGGAGGTCCATGAGGGTGACATGGACCTCCGCCCGTACCAGACTAGGCTTTGTGTCACTGGGTGACACTGGGTGACACTGGGTGACACAAACCCTAGTGACGACACTGGGTGACACAAACCCTAGTGACGACACTGGGTGACACAAACCCTAGTGACGACACTGGGTGACACACACCCTAGTGACGACACTGGGTGACACAAACCCTAGTGACGACACTGGGTGACACAAACCCTAGTGACGACACTGGGTGACACAAACCCTAGTGACGACACTGGGTGACACAAACCCTAGTGACGACATTGGGTGACACACACCCTAGTGACGACACTGGATGACACAAACCCTAGTGACGACACTGGGTGACACAAACCCTAGTGACGACACTGAGTGACACACACCCTAGTGACGACACTGGGTGACACAAACCCTAGTGACGAAACTGGGTGACACACCCTAGTGACGACACTGGGTGACACAAACCCTAGTGACGACACTGGGTGACACAAACCCTAGTGACGACACTGGGTGACACACACCCTAGTGACGACACTGGGTGACACACACCCTAGTGACGACACTGGGTGACACACACCCTAGTGACGACACTGGGTGACACACACCCTAGTGACGACACTGGATGACACACACCCTAGTGACGACACTGGGTGACACAAACCCTAGTGACGACACTGGGTGACACAAACCCTAGTGACGACACTGGGTGACACAAACCCTAGTGACGACACTGGGTGACACAAACCCTAGTGACGACACTGGGTGACACAAACCCTAGTGACGACACTGGGTGTCACAAACCCTAGTGACGACACTGGGTGTCACAAACCCTAGTGACGACACTGGGTGTCACAAACCCTAGTGACGACACTGGGTGACACAAACCCTAGTGACGACACTGGGTGACACACCCTAGTGACGACACTGGGTGTCACAAACCCTAGTGACGACACTGGGTGACACACACCCTAGTGACGACACTGGATGACACAAACCCTAGTGACGACACTGGGTGACACAAACCCTAGTGACGACACTGGGTGACACAAACCCTAGTGACGACACTGCGTGACACAAACCCTAGTGACGACACTGGGTGTCACAAACCCTAGTGACGACACTGGGTGACACAAACCCTAGTGACGACACTGGGTGACACACACCTTAGTGACGACACTGGGTGACACACACCCTAGTGACGACACTGGGTGACACAGACCCTAGTGACGACACTGGGTGACACAAACCCTAGTAACGACACTGCCCATACTCGAGCATGAAGCGAATTCGCTTGTTCAGCTCTAATGCGCATTCGTCCTCGCTGCTGTGCTTGGACGACACGACAAGAGAATGATCCGCGCCAGGTGGGTCACGACGTTTATGTGTGCGGTGGGACGGAGTCGCCAAAAATAAATACATTCTATGCGATTTTGACTTCCGTTTATTGGGGACCCCGGGGGTCACGCCATTAGGTTCACGTTGTACGTGTCGTTTATGTAGACTTGACGCCTTGCAAAAGGTGTCTGCAGTATTCGGTGTTTGAACATCTAGAAATACCCGTTTTCTTGCCAGAAAGGGGTAAAAGCCTCTTCTTATTTAACGCGGCTGTAGTGTCATAACCACGCTCATTCAGGGAAACAAGGACGGTTAAATAAGTGCTCTCCTAGTTTCAGACTATTCCGGTGCCTTGAGGTAGAAGTATGTAACAACACTCATTAAACACTGGAGTTGGCGATGATGATGATGCTGCTGCTTGCTACGTTGGCAGTGGTTCACAGCCACGCAAACTCCACGCGTTCGTCAATAACTCTTTTACGTAAAAATAAATAAAACATATACAACGCTTTGAGCCATAACCCTTCGAATAATCTGGTTTGCGTGCTGTGGAGTAAGGCCATTGCCTAAATCGTCACCTATTAGTTTTTATTTTAAGGCCACAGCTTGATTGACCAATGTTGGATATTGGGATAATTAAAATCAAACGTAAAAACACAAGAACCCCGTGTTACTGTGAGTATATACATGTATCATTGTATTCGTATGTGCGTGTTATTTTATAGAGTACAGACCAACAGTGTACAATACAGTATGCCATATGCCAGGTACAGTATGTCCGACGGTTCACCGGCCCCCCATCCCCCACCATGCTCCCCAATCAACAATAGCTGCCATTTGCCACCAAGTGGCTGTGACCCTTCCACTGCGTTTGTGCCAGGCCAGGTGCACCTTAAGGCCACGTGAAGTGTGGAAGGCTCACTGGTGGGAGCTCTCGGGACAATTCCAGTTGCCATCGGTTGACTGAGATGACTGGCAGATGCACCACCAGGCCTTGCTGCGTTTTAGTCACCTGTCGTTTCGCCGCTTCTCCGTTGTTCCTGATGGGCGACTGCCTCCAACTTCCCAGTGGCGCCCTTCACTGGCCTCCCCACCATGAAACATTGTGCGACAACATGTATGCTACTTGAACATAGTTTATACGTTCTACACACTGCCTTCGTTCTCGTGCATTTTCTGATGCATTACCCATTGCATAACACATTCTAGAGTATAAAGTACGGTGAAACCTCGTTATTTCGGTATTTGATCATTCATATTTGGGGATAATTTGGCACGACTGCGCTTGTATACAGTACTAGCCGTACTACCCGGCTTCGCCCGGGACTTGGATCCACCACGCCCGGCCGCCTTTGTCTCCCCAGTGGCGATGTTCACACACCACAGCAGTTACTCGTTTGAGGCTGAGTCAACCTAGGGGAGGCCCAGGACCGGTTCAAATAATCGTCATCGGTGGTGGCCGTGCGCGGGAATCGAACTCGGGTCGCCGGGTTCGTAGCGCAGCGCGCTAACCGCTACACTACAATGCGTTACGCTTCCACATGCGCGGGTCACATGACAGATTTGACGTCACAGCTCACTTGTGCAAAAAATATATACATCATTGAGCTCTACCCCCCAAAAAAGTGTATTTTTATAATGTTTGCATGGTGTACAGTCTGGAAAGTACCCACATGGCAAATTTCAAGTTTGTTGCATGTCGGGAAGTACGCGAAACATTTTGAACAGACACACATAATCACAACTTTGCCTTTTATATATATGGAGATTAGTAATTCGCCATGAGTTGAATTGCCGTACCGAAGGGTCCAATTTCACCATGCACGTGGAACGACTTTGCGTGCCATTTCCAAAACAACGACTCGGTCTAGTGGCGGCGTGCATGGTGAGCGTTAGTGCTGACCTGTTGCTTTCACTTTACCTAGTTTATGCACTCTGTACAAGCCAACCCTCTCAGAAATGTCGTCTACACCAACATCAAGACGTGCCAGAAAGGGATTGAAGTATAAATCCCTTAGTCTGCGAGACAAATCCAAAGTTTTGTATATAATTGACGAATGGTGTGTGTCAATGCGTATGGTGTGTGAAGAGTTTGGAAAAAAATTAGGATTTATTTTTTCTATTTGTGCAGGAGGCACTGGGGAGAGTACCATTGTACATAATTCGGAATATTGGATAATTTGGCAAGGCCAGAGCCTCATGTGGCGAATTAACAAGGGTTTACTCTATGTACATTAAATTTACTATTGTTTTGCAATTCTTACATTTTAAGAATGTCTTTAGTCAGCTGACCTCGTACGGCTTATGCAAAATTATGTACAGTGCTCTTATCCTTGTCAAGACAACCAATTCACTTGAGGTGAATGTGTGGGCCGTACTATTGACTAAACTCTAGACCACTAACTCGTGCCGTGTGTATATATCTGTGTGTCATGTTTCTCGTATGCATGTATGTTTTGTGTATCTTTAGGCTCGTGCATCTGTGTATCGAGCATGAGTGCGTGTACGTATTCATCTCTGTATCCGTACGTATATGTGGTGGCGCACGCCTGTAATCGACCACTGGAGGCAGCGAGGGTTGAGGGATCACACAAATCTAATACTCCTTCCCCGTGGGCATCGAGGTATCATACCCTGGCTCATTGTTTCCATCTGTACGGGGCAAGAGAGTTACACCTTTGCGTGCGTGGGGTTTGCTCCGGGTGCTCGGTTTTCCTCCCGTTTGTATTAACAATCTATAATTGGCTCAAATCATCTTAAAGTAGAAAAAAAACACTGCAGGACCCTCCTGAAAACGAGTCGTATGACTTGGTGTGTATTTTCTGGATAAGTAAGGAAATCAACAAGACATTAAAATGTTTGTCTCTCTGTGTCACCGCATGTCTCATTGTATCTTGTCTTTTGCTACCCAGTACTTATATGAGTAGTGTAAGTGTGTATTGTTTTATTATGATGGTCATGATCATAATATTGTGAGTGTGTCGGTGTATATCTGTCTCAGTATATCCATGTGTCCATTTGTTTCCCAGGACTTACCTGTGCATGTGTGTGTCTTTCCGTGTCTGCATATATTGGCGTGATTCTGTGTATACATGTGTGTCTGTCTCCACACCCCGGCGTGTGTCTGGTTGCCAGGACCTACCCGCGGCCCCATGAGAGCATGTCTGTGCAGGATCTGCCGGTCGCATGGGACTGGAGGGACGTAGGAGGGAGGAACTTTGTGAGTCCGACTCGCAACCAGCACATCCCGCAATACTGCGGCTCCTGCTGGGCCATGGGATCCACCAGCGCCATGGCCGGTAGGTGCATGGAGGGAGTTGGGGGCCAGGGGGGGTAAAGATTTCATTGATATTATCACCAGTGGTGTTGGCTTATGTTGTTGCTCTGGAGAGCGGGATATCAATGATCGATGTTCGCTCGCCACGTTGATGGCAATCGTCGTGAATTCTCGCTTAGCAGAGTGGGCCGTGTGAAGGCTGCCATCTTTCACTCCTAGCACCTTGTGAAAGACCCAACACAGAAGATCTTTGGGTTTGATCTTTCACTAAGCTCATGGTCCACCCTAAATCACATCCACTGCACAAACCCGATGCACGAATAAAAAATGAAAAACTCTCCAGTGTGCGATTGTGGTCATCCAGAACGGGGACCGTACATCGTATAACGACGCATTGCCCGATCCACAAATACGAAGGAGACATCCGTGATACATTTTGCTGCTCCTGGCGTGGTTATCTGGGCTTGACCACCTGGATGGGAAATTGTAGTCGTTGCTCTGCATCTACATTAGCTATATGAAAGAAGAAGAGGCTAGTGGTGGTGGTGATGATGAATTGAATGCCACCACTGGTGGTGGTAATGGTGGAGGAGGTGGTTTTTGTGACGTTGGTGGAGGTGGCAAAGGTGATGGTGATAATAATGATTTAAACGTATTATTCTCGAAGAGAGATATCGACTCGAGAGATTTGAGGATGAACTACAGTCGAGCGTGAAGGCAGCAGCCATGCGGCGAGCCCGCACCAACAATTGCCCCAGTTCTGCAGTCCTCCATATATTAAGGTGTTATTGGCCAATGAATGCATGTTTACACGTGGGAAGACACCCGGACAGCTGTAGAAAACCCATAGGTGATGAAGGGGAAATATCTAGTCAGTATCAAATATAAGAATAGGTTTTGCCCTTTCTGTCAATAAAACATGTTTCGATTTAAAGCTTTCGTGACTGCAGGGATTCATATTCTTGGTTATTTCAGTAAAGTCACGTAGAAGGTAAATAATAAAATAATAAAAATTAACCAATAACATTCTCACGACGTTTCTTGCTGTGGTTTTCACACCTGATGATGATTGCTTGTGTTGTAATCGAAACGTCGTGATAATTTTATTTTTTATTTGTATTATTTTATTATTTCCCTTCTACGTGACTTTACCGAAAGAACCAAGAATAATAAACCATATGTTAAGATGTTCAAACACCAAATAGATCTATAGCTCGGGTTTAGCAGTTTTATGTATATACAATACTATATATAACTACTTGCATTGTATTTTTTTATTTAAAGCTTTCGTGACTGCAGGGATTCATATTCTTGGTTCTTTCGGTAAAGTCACGTAGAAGGGAAACAAAAAAATATAAAACAATAAAATTCTCACGACGTTTTGACTGCAACACAAGCAATCATCATCAGGTGTGAAAACCACAGCAAGAAAATTTGAATAAAGTGGCGTTTTTTTAACGTTAGCACCATGGAGAGCGATTTGGCAGTTATTCAGATGGACGAGTCCATCTATGTTCGGAAAAGAGGAGGGGGGAGACGGAAATAATGGATGCGGTCTGAAAGCCACCGTAAGCGTCAACAATCAATTAAGACCCGAAATGGTTTATCAAATCCTTCCAAGTCTTAATTGATTGTTCACGCTTACGGTTGCTTTCAGACCGCATCCATTATTTTCGTCTCCCCCCTCCTCTTTTCCGAACATAGATGGACTCGTCCATCTGAATAACTGCCAATTCGCTCTCCGTGGTGCCAACGTAAAAAAACGCCACTTTTTTCAAATTTTCTTGCTGTGGTTTTCACACCTGATGATGATTGCTTGTGTTGCAGTCGAAACGTCGTGAGAATTTCATTGTTTTATATTTTTTATTGTTTCCCTTCTATGTGACTTTACCGAAAGAACCAAGAATACCTGCATTGTCTTTGTATTGTTTGCCTTTTGATGTTCTCTGGTCTTACACTGCTGAGACAAAGCTATAAAGAAGGCTTCTTTGTTGACCAAGCCTCTTCAAATACAATGCATACATTATCAGAGCATGTTTGTGAGTGTGTTTGTTTGCATGTTATGCCACAAATATGTGTGGTTTATGCAGACTTAATGCCTTGAATGTATATATATTTGGTGTTTGAACATCTAAACACAGTTGTATTGCCAGAAAGGGCAAAATGTATTCTTATATTTGCGAGGGGGAAACACTGTCTCATGCAGACGGAACAGGGTGGAGTCTGCATTTTTGCTTAACTGTCTTCCGACGACTCGGGGTATGGCACACCTTCAATGCCCCCACAGGAAGAGAATTTCACAAAATGATTTGTGCAATCCACCAAGCAACGCCTCCACAGTGCCGGTTTACAGGCGTGCATAGCCACCACTGCCCGGCTTATAATCAGGATGTCTCCACCTCCTCCTCTCTCCCTCTCCTTTTCTAGACCGCATCAACATCCGGCGTGGCGGAGCCTGGCCACTGGCCTATCTCTCCGTGCAGCATGTGATCGACTGTGGAGGCGCTGGCTCCTGTGAGGGAGGAGACCACATGGGAGTGTGGAAATTCGCTCACACGCACGGCGTGCCAGACGAGACGTGTAACAACTATCAGGCTAAGGACCAAGGTGAGACGCACACAGGGCGTGTTAGACGCGACGTGTAATAACCGGATGGATTTACTATTGCAGTTTTTTTAACAGGTTAAGCCCACTGAACTATGATCTCTTTTTCAGAGATGACCTGACTACACATGGATAGCTCATCAAATTGGCTTATCATGTGTGGGAATTTATAGTAGCCAAATAAACGAATATTGGTCGCGAAAGCCTACATGTTAAACCAAATAAACGAATGGCATGTTTCTAAATGTGGAGGGCAAAACTATTTACTGGAAAAAGGCAATGAATTTGTGAAAGATGAAATGTATTCACAAGAGAGATAGGAGATCCATTTACTTAAGTGGAATTTATTCACGAAGGAGAGATAGGAGATACGTTCACCTGTTCACTCGAGAGAGGAGATGCATTCTCTGGTGACCATGAAGATGGTCATTCCGGTGATAATGATAATACTGCAGATAATCTTGCTGATGCTGCTACTGCTGCTACTACTACTGATTCTGACGATTCTACTGCTGGTGATGATGATGCTACTATTGCTGATGCTGACCCGCAGACTGCAATGGGTTCAATGAATGTGGCACGTGCACCACATTTGGGGTTTGTTTCAACATCAAGAACTTCACCCGGTGGAGAGTGGGCGACTACGGGGCGGTCACGGGGAGAGAGAACATGCAACGCGAGATCTACAAGAACGGACCTATCAGGTGAGTGAACTAGTGAATGGGTGGGTAATTTCGTGAGTGGATTAGTAAGTGACCTACCATGTACATCTCAAAAATTGATGTATGCAGGTGACAGTCCTTGATGCACAGGGCACAAACCTCGACAATGTTGCCAATACTCTTAAAAGCCGGTCAAATATTATTGGAGGCATTTTTATGTCGCTGGAGAGTGATTATATCCTTCCAAAACCACCACGCATATTCCACCTGAACAATCGCGCAGGAGACGCCCCCCTTGATGTGTCCTTCTGCAGTAGCCCATTGCACTGAGCCCACTGAAAATAAATCTTGGGGTTATCATGGATAGAAGCCTGACCTTTCTCGCCCCACATTAAACACGTCTGTAAATACATGAAATCCAGAATCGCCTTGCTGCAGAAACTTGGAGGAACGACCTGGGGGCGCCTCAGCTGTTGTGCTGTGAACTGCCACCCCATCACTGGTCTACTCAGCGCCACAAATAACACAATGCGGATTATAACCAGAATACTGAAACCGGCACCAATCCCCGTGGCTCCCTGTTCTGGAGAACATTCTGCCGCCAAATATCCGCACAGACAAACTTTAAGGGAGTTTACACAACTCCTTGCCAACGACAACTTGCCCATCAACCAAGGCCTCACCATCCTGGAATCCTTGTACGTACAAACGTGGAACTTCTTTCGCACCGTACGTAGCCAACCGTGCTAATTGGAGGTGTGAGGTAGGGGTAACAAATTGAACACAAAAAGCAGTTCTTACCAGGATTCAGAGGAATGCTGCTGTGAACAGTGGAATAACACAGACGTCCAAAATAAACACCTCATTCGAGATTCAAACCTCACGCCTCCTGGTTTTTTAATTTCCTCAAAGACACTGGTGTATCCATCAATTGCATCACAACATCAACAAACTGACGCTAACGGCTCCTTTGTGAATGGAAAATTAGAAGACAAGCCGCACTGCGAATGCGGCCATGCAACTCAAACTATGGAATATATCGTGAACCACTTTGTTCTGCGCTCCTTCAATCGAGGAATAGTACATTTATACAACCTATCTCCTGAATCCGTCTCGTGTCCAGCAGACTTTGACATTGGCAATTAGCTCCTGAACAAGTTGCCGCATGCAATAATAATTGTAGGTGAGCAGGTGAGTGAATGGGTGGGTGAGCGAGTTGGTGAGTGCATAGCTGTGTTTTGACCTCGACAGATGATGCGTGTATAAGTGTATATGCGTGTGTTCATATATACGCATGTATTAATGTATCTGTGTGTGCAACTCTGTGTCTCGGTGTTTCCGTGTATGTGTGTCTGCATGTGTATGACTTTGTCTCTATGTGTGTGCGTCTCCGGCTGTCTCTGTGTGTGTCTCCCGACTTTGTCTCTGTGTGTGTGTCTGTCTCCCGACTATGTCCGTCTCTGTGTCTGTGTGCGTGTCTCAGCTGCGGATTGATGTCCACCTCGAAGTTCCACAACTACACCGGCGGCCTCTACACGGAGTTCATCCCTACCCCCTTTGAGAATCATATTGTGTCAGTGGTCGGGTGGGGCGTGGACAAGGAGGAGGGAGGCGTTGAGTACTGGGTCGTCCGCAATTCTTGGGGAGAGCCCTGGGTGAGTCATCCTTGTGTGGTGTGACCTTTTATAATTGTTTGCTCACTGAATCAGAATCAGAAAGGGTTTTATTCGCCATGAAAGTTCACACCGACACGGAATTTACTTTGGCAGGATGGTGCATACATTCAACATATAGGAATCTAAAATCTTAAATAAGTTTTAAACAAGTCTTACTATAATACTAAGGGTTAGAAGTCTAACACCAAGGGGCTGAAGTATATAAAATTGAATAAATATCGAATATAAAATAGCTTTAAGATATTTAAAAATAAAAAATACAAATAGGTTAACATAGTTAATATCGGCAAGGTGTCATTATGTAGATAAAATGTTAAAATCAGTGTAAGCCCTTGGCCTTGTTTAAAAGGCCAGCAGCAGATGGGAAGAAACTGTTTTTATGGCGTGAGGTTTTGGTCCTGATGGACCGAAGCCTTCTGCCGGAGGGGAGTAGCTGAAACAGAGAGTGTCCAGGGTGGGAGGAATCGGCCACAATCTTCCTCGCTCGCCTCATGGTCCTTGTCATGTGCAGGTCCTCGAAGGTTGGTAGATTGCAGGCAATTACCTTCTCAGCAGTGTGGATGATACGCTGCAGTCTGCTCTTGTACTTGGCATTGGCAGCAGCGTACCAGACGGTTATGGAGGAGGTGAGGATGGATTCAATGATCGCTGTATAGAATTGCACCATCATTGTCTATGGCAGGTTGAATTTCTTCAGCTGCCGTAGAAAGTACATCCTCTGTTGAGCTCTCTTGGTGAGGGAGCTGATGTTCAGTTCCCACTTGAGGTCCCGGGAGAGAATAGTGCCCAGGAAGCAGAAGGACTCTACAATTTTGACTGGGGAGTCTAACAGGGTGATGGGGGTGAGTGGGGCTGTATTCTTCCTGAAGTCCACAACCATCTCAACTGTCTTTAGAGCATTTAGCTCTAAGTTGTTCTGGCTACACCAGGTCACCAGATTGTCAGCTTCCCACCTATAGTCAGACTCATCCCCACCGGAGATCAGCCCAATGAGGGTGGTGTCGTCCGCAAACTTCAAGAGTTTGACGGACAGATGATTGGAGGTGCAGCTGTTGGTATACAGGGAGAAGAGCAGTGGGGAAAGGACGCAGCCCTGAGGAGTTCCGGTGCTGATGAACCTGGAGTCAGAGACTTGTGTTCCCAGCTTAACGCACTGCTTCCTGTCAGACAGGAAGTCTGTGATCCATTTACAGGTGGTGTAGGGCACGTTCAGCTGGAAGAACTTGTCCTGAAGCAGGGCAGGGATGATGGTGTTGAAGGCAGAGCTGAAGTCCACAAACAGGATCCTGGCGTAGGATGCTGGGGCGTCCAGATGCTGTAGGGTGAAGTGGAGGGCCATGTTAACTGCGTCGTCCACAGACCTGTTGGCTCTGTAGGCAAACTGAAGGGGGTCCAGGAGAGGGTCTGTGATGACTTTGAGGTGTGCCAGGACCAGGCGCTCAAAAGACTTCATTACCACAGATGTAAGGGCGACCGGTTTGTAATCATTTAGTCCTGTTGGCCTTAGCTTTTTGGGCACAGGGATGATGGTGGAGAACTTGAGACAGGCTGGTACATGGCTTGTCTCCAGGGAGGTGTTAAAGATGTTGGTGAACACCGGAGACAGCTGGTCAGCGCAGTGGCTGAGGGTGGCTGGAGAGACAGATTCCGGCCCGGCTGCTTTGCGTGGATTCTGCCTCTTGAAAGGTCTATTAACTTCTCCCTCCTGAAAGGAGAGAGTCGTCTCTGTAGTATGGGTGGGGGATGGGGCCTCTTGGGTGGGAAGGGATGGTTCAGGACAGTTCAATTGTCTTTCAAATCTACAGTAGAACTCGTTCAGGTCGTTGGCTAGGCGGGAGTCGTTAGTGGTGTGGGGGGCTCTGGGTTTGTAGTTGGTGATCTGCCTGAGCCCTCTCCAGACAGAAGCAGCGTCGTTAGTAGAGAACTGGTGTTTTAGTCTCTCTGAGTACAGTCGTTTAGCCTCTCTCACCGCTTTGCAAGAGTAGGGCGTGACGGTGGCGATATGTTACCTACCTCGCTTGGTATGCAGGATGTCGTGGGTTCGATCCCGACCTGACGTGTGTGTATTTGGAATTTTTCTCCGTTTTTTCCCTCCACGTGTAGAAACGTGAGTATAGAGTATTTGGCTGATGAATTTCCACTTGATAAGCCACTTCGTTCAGCCATCATTTGTGGCCAGTTCGCTTCTGGTAAAATGAAAATGGTAAATAAAAACACAGTCGTACCTCGGTATACGACCGCTTTGGAATAAGTCGAATTTGGTACACGTCGTGTTTTGCCGAGAAAAAAATGTCTTGTGATACGACGTCTTGCTTGGGATACGACCTCTTGTTAGAACTTGTATGGGTCGGGATGAGTCACCGCGTACCCGCGTAGACCCCGTTCACGACTGAAACAAAGCGCCGCTCCTCAGTCTGCCTGTACAGTCGATCTCGTTCAGTGCACAACCCTTGCTATAACTCTGTGAATTTTCACGTGTTGTCATTTTAATGTATGTATGAATTTTAGTACTAAGTAGTGTCTACATTATGTTATACAACCCCATTAATGTATAATATGCTATATAAAATATAATTTCTTATAATCTGGAAAGGATTAATTCCTTTCCCTTTTTCATATGGGAATTATTTTTGGTATATGTCGTTTTCGGTATAAATCCTACCTTCTGGAACGAATTAACGACGTATACCGAGGTACCACTGTAGGTGCATGAATGAGTGGGTGTGCCGTGGCACAATGGTTATCGCTATGCGCTACAAGCGTAGCAATCCCAAGTTCGAATCTTGCTGACAACCAACATCAGTGTCGAATATCTGAACCAGTCTCGGGCCCTTCGCTCAGTCGACACGGCCTCAAATGAGCACTTGGTGCAATGTGTTAACGTGCTTGTATTCCTCCAGTCTAAATACAGATTCTGATTCTGTTAACAGCACTTGCCCCAACAGTCTGTTCAGGCTCAATGGGGGATCTTTGCCTTTGTGTGTATCTCTGTGCGAGTCAGGGAGAGAACGGCTGGGCTCGGATCGTGACGAGCTCCTACAAGGGCGGAAAAGGGAACGACTACAACCTGGGCATCGAGCAAGATTGTGCTTATGGGGACCCCATCCTTTCCCCTTAATGCCCCCTATCCCCCTCCCCCCTCTATCCCCAACCACTAACCCTTACGCCATATCCCCGTCTCTCCCAATCACTAACCCTAACATCTATACTCTTTAAACCCTAACCATAACCCTTAATCTCTAAAATCTAAACATATCCCCTACTCTACCCCTATCCCTGTCCTCTAACCCCCAACCTCTCTGCCACATACAAAGCAATGTCTGTTGAATTTTCATGGCTCACGACATTGTAGCCGGTGGGTGCTTACTTTGGGAACATCGACTCTTGATGCTTCACTTTGAATCGGTGCACGGCTAACAAGTAATAATTATCACAAATCCAGTGGGTTTTACATATCCATTATTTTAATATCACGTTTGCACCAGTGTTATGGTTTGTGCTATCGACGTCGCATCACGAGATACAAGGATCCATTTGGAAACCCTCGCGGTGAGCAGTGCACCACCCTGTATGTTAGAGGACATCCTGCAGAAGTGGATATCACAGAGCTACCTCAGAGCTCCTCTTCAAGAAATAATCTTGTCCACACACAGAAGGCAGCACTTTCTCAACCACCCCGCCATATCAGACTAATGTTCACGTGACAGTCTTTAAACCAATGTTTATTCTCAGAGCCTGAATGTAGCCAAATTAAGCGCAAAACCAAATTTAATGTGATCAGGGTGTTTTTATTAATGTATTGGCAATCGGACTGAGACCATCAACTCACTGCACTTTAGAGTCCGAGTCTTCGTGCCTCTGTGTGAGCCACTGCTAACTGGGCTGAGACCATTGGATTGGAACCAAGGACCAGCAAAGATATCACACCCGCCACTGATGTTGATTGTGGGCACGATTAAAACTCAGGCAGGTTCATAGCACAGTGTGCTAACCACTGAACCTTTTTTTCCTCCCGCCCCCCCCATCATCACGTGTCTGTGTCAAATGTGTAAGGTTAATGGTGGGAAGGTGCATGCCGAAGAGTGCTTGCGCTGCTTGACAGAAGGGCTTTCACTAGAGGGAGCTCAAGAGCCCCAATAGAGGGTATTTGGCCTACTCTTCCACTCTGGCCTTGACGTGTCAAATGTGTGCTCATTTTAATGCGTGGCATTGGGTTATGCGTTTGAATCTGTTGCGTTCTTTTTACATTTTCTGTCTTGTTGAACGCGAATGGAGATTCTACATATTTTCAAATGATTTTGTAATACCAATTGCAGCGCTTGGGTTTTTGACGGTAATTGTGATTGGTTTTTAATTCTGAATAAACTCCGAGGCGTGACCTGCAGCGAGCTGCTTCACGAATTGATTATTTCACCCCCCCCCAGCCCCCTTTCATGTCGGTCTCAAAAATAACACTGCGAGAGAGTCCTGGAGGTGGGGGTGTAACCTACACCAGGACCGGCGAGAACTCCAAGTCTAGTATGATTATTTGCCAGAGTGATCGGGGCCATTAGTCTGCCTGTTGTGGGCGATTAATTCGCTGTCCAGTCCCAATTGAGTAAGGTGCAGGTAACTTTTGAATTGGGCAAATCATACTGATAGAATTGAGCCCAGGAATGAATCGCCAAGTGGATTATGCTAATGAAAGTGTCCTTAATCTTCACCTCCGATTAGCACAGTTGGCTACATACGGTGCTACAGAAGTTCAACATTACAACAACATTTTAGAATATATGTTTTAACAAATGAGTAGTAATACACTTGATTATTGCAGGGTTTGTTTCTCAACTACTCATCGGTAACTTCGGGAGCCAATATAAATACTTTTATTCGGAAACAAAAATAAACAATTCGGACTCCATGATGTGAAGTGTGGTCTCCAACTCATTCCCTCTATCTCAAAGGGCTGTCTGTGCCACGAAGAAGGGCCGTTGTCTAAAGCACCTCCGATTACATATTAGTCATCGAAGGCAAATGTGTCGAGACACGTTCCGCTCACAAAGGCGTGCAGGATTAAGGTGCAGCCCTGTAAGAGCACGCACACGCGGGTGCTTGCGGAAGGGCCCCCACTAGAGGGAGCTTTAAAGCACTTGAGTGGTATTTTGGCCTCTGAACTTGAGCATTCCCACACTACTCTCGACCACGTGCAACCTGACAATCGACTGATGCATAATGATATGGCGGGGGGGGGGGTTCTCCCCACCCCACCAAATCAAATAAAGTCGATATCAAAGATTATTCACGTGTCCCTGTTTAAATGAGATAGTTGAGATCAGCCAGTCGTCCACAGGCTCGGTAGCTGACAGCCGGTGTGTGTTCTTTCACTCTCGGCCTCTGCTGAACAACCCACGAAGTCTGCCCTCTCCTCTATCCATGTTATATGGCTGTGTCATTTTATATGGCTGTGCCATGAGGAAGCGAAAGTGATGGCAAATCACTGCCACGCGAGTTCCATCCGCGCGACGTGCGAATGTTGCGCGCGGTTGAGCTTAAACGTTAACGATCTCAACACGGGCGACCACGCCATCGGCACACGTTCTAAACGCATTTAGACGTAAGCTTTAAATGTTGAAGTCACGCCGATGGAAAAAAAAAATGTGATTTCGCAACACCACCGCCGCCCACAACCACCGCCACCACCACCACCGCCCACGAGCTGTCTCATCGGCAAGCGTGAACCCCCCCCTCCACCCCCCGGAGTGCTCACGAGGAGGCGTCACGACGACGTCGAGGAGGGTGGGAGGAAGGGAGGGAAATAGGAACGAGGTATATCGCAGCAGGAAGGAGAAAGTCCGAGACGCAGATGCTCGTGTCTCACGCTCGGGACGCGGGGCCACGACTCGGGATGATTCTGCTGCTGCTGCTGCTGGTGGTTGCGCTCCCGTGGGCAGGTGAGGGATGGGAGCGAAGCGGAGTTGCTTTCTCGTCCTTGCGCGCGTGGTGAGAACGACCTATGGACCGTATCGTGACATCCCACGACTCGCTCACCCGAGACCCCATTCCTCGTGGCGAGCAGATCTCGGCGTTTGGCGTTCCGTCTCTTGATCACCTATCGCTGCTGCCACACGCAAGAGCAGAACGGCGGAAATGTGTTCAGGAGATGAATTCCAACCAATATCGAGATCCGATAGCCACGGCTAAGAGGGCTTCAAGGTGAGAGAGAGGAGTGCTCGTGTCGTTCGGGGCTTCCTCCCTGCGTTGAAGGAGCGCAGACTACAGGTTGCGTTTTACGATATGGTCCATAGTTTGGGTCGCATGGAACACAATCGCGCAACGGTGTTCGAGTGTATTTCGTGGATTACAAATCCGCGGAGGCGACGCTCGGCATCGCAGACGGACGTCGTTCATTTGAAGCGAGGGGTTGAGGGTTTTCAGTGGGACGGGAGGTTCCGAGCTCACGTCCCGCAGGCGCGCCAAACGTCGTGCCCCTAATGAGCAATTCTCTAAGTGCGCCCGTGTGTGACCGCGCTCACAGCACTTGCCCCAACAGTCTGTTAAGGCTACACAGGGGATATTTGTCTTTGTGGGGGGGGGGGGGGGGGGGGGAGATGTAGTGGTTGGCACCGCAATGCGCTACGAACTCCCGTCACCCGGAGACCCGAGTTCGACTCCTGCCCAGCCAACATCGGTGTCAAGCGAATATCTCTACGCGGGCCTGGTGCCTCCCTTAGGTTGGCCTTAAATTAATGAGCATCCTGGCGTGGTGTTTAAACATCGGCACTGGGGGAGACAAAGACGGCCGGGCGTGGTGTTGGCCACCCACCTTCTTGTTCGACGTGTTGGTGCTCGCTAACGGCACTTTCCCCAACAGTCTGTTAAGTCTATAAGCGGGGAGGTCAATGTGTGGCAGAGTCTGATCTCTTAAACTCTACGCTGGTGTCACTTTAAATTCTTAATTAAAAGCGGTAACTTGTCCCCAGCAGTGGCTGTCCCATAGCGTTCAATTATCCGACCCTGTTGGACTCAATTTCACTGTTCATAATATAACAGCATCTAAACGCAGTACATTTAAACAAAAAAATATTGCCCCTTGATATTATTGCGTTACAAATTTTCACGGTGCCACTCACTGAAGCAGTCCTCAACGCGTTTAAAGTTGTGCTCTGTAATAATCAGGCTCGGATGAAGGTTATTGTCGGCCATAGCCTTCAGTGATGACCTTCTACATTTAGTGGCACTTCTGCCCAATGTTAAGACCGCCGCTGTAATTTTGCTGAAGCTGATTTTTTTTTTTTAAAAAACCTCTTCGATCAACCATAGGACAACTTACATCGCCTTTGTCTACCCTTGCATTGCTCGCTATTGAGAATGAGATTGTGCAAATAAGCACCATGTGAAGATGTTACTGCTAATATTGCAATTTAAAAAAATCTCGAAAAGTTCATCACCGGTGTTAATTTATCTCTCCCCTTATGAAAAGGAAACGATTAACATTGACATGACTCTGCCTCTTTGCATAACCACTGCGCCTATCCTTGCTATATATAAATATATTTATTCAAGAAGATATATTGGTTACATGTTCGTATCATACAAAAAAAACATGGTCAATTTATGTTTTCTTAAGTTTTCGTAGGCCCTTTGCACAGTGCCTGCTTTTGGCCTTATTGGTTAATGCGGCCCTGGTAATAAGTGTAGGTCGTAGAGCGGCATATCCTCCGATAAATTCACCTTTAATTCACCTGATCTCGAAAGCTAAGCCTTGGTGGACAGTGCCTGTGGACGGGTGACCGCGGTACGCAAGGCACGCGTTGTACAGGCAGCAGCTACGCTGTTCTGTCAGCAGAGGGCGGTGCCGCAAATACTGTGCTGGAGTTATCCTCAAAGGCGTAGGACACATCCAAGCAGACGTTGCGAGAGCTGAAATAGCCACCATTCTTAAGAATGCTAAGAAACCCATTAGTAACATCAGCAAAAATGAACGCTCTGAACTCGCGAATTTAAAAAACAGAAGTGATATAGTCATCCTCTCAGCCGATAAAGGCAACGCTACTGTTATTATGGATAAAGATTCATACAACAACAAAATCCAGAATCTGCTCAACGATGGAAGTTACTCAAAAATAAAAAAATGACCCTACTAATAGCCTAGCGATAAAAACCAACAAGATCATCACAAGTTCGACCTCCCTAATCGACCCAACTAAACGTCCCTCCCTAAAACCTTCTGCTGCAAGACCCCCTAGATTCTATGGTCTTCCCAAGATTCATAAAGAAGGCACCCCACTACGACCCATCGTATCCACGATCAACTCCCCTACCTATAGACTAGCCCATTTTCTGTCAGATACCTTGCTGCCTTTCACTGGCAAGACCGCCTCAGCAGTACTTAACTCAGCCCAATTGGTCTCTATGGTCAAAGACGTTGTACTGTCCCCTGACGATATCCTTCTCAGCTTCGATGTGGTCTCTTTGTTCACCAAGGTCCCAGTACCTGATACCATTGAAATAATTGAAAATTTGGTCCAACATGGACTAGACCCCGACACACCTGCACTGGTTAGGCACTGCCTCAACAATACCTACTTTACTTGGAATGGCTCCTTCTACAAACAAAATGAGGGTACCCCCATGGGATCCCCCTTATCACCAGTGATAGCCAATATTTTCATGGAGAAATTTGAATCAGACGCCATCCAGACTTCCACCGTCAGACCTTCCCTGTGGAAGAGATATGTGGATGACACTTTCGTCATTTGGCCACATGGCCTCCCAGCTCTGAACCTTTTCCTACACCACATCAATTCCAGACATCCCGCCATCAAATTCACCATGGAAGTGGAGAAAAATGGCAAGCTACCATTCTTATATGTTCTGTTTGAGAGGAGACCTGATGGCTCATTGGGGCATTCTGTCTACAGGAAACCCACCCACACAGATTCCTACTTGAAACCTGATTCCCACCACCACCCAGCCCAAAATAATTATCTCATCAAAATTGTATACCATAGGGCTCATTGCATTTCAGATCAACACCACCTGACCAGTGAATTAAAACCTGGCCTCAAAAGGAATGGTTACTCTGACCGTACCATCCGCCAAGCTGTTTCTCCCTCCATACAGAAAAAACCACTTGATACTCCGGTCAAAACCATCATACTACCATATATAGCAGGCGTTACTAAAAAGATTTCCAAAATTCTAAACAAACACAAGATCCAGGTCCGGTTCAATACAGTACCCAAAATTCGTGATCTGATCCCATCCATGAAGGATGGCATTCCTGACTTACAGTACCCCGGGGTTTAAAATTTGAGTTGTACCTGCGGTGATTGCTATATCGGGGAGACAAAGCGACATGTCTCTGACCGAATTCGCGAGGACAAATCAGATTTGAAACACGGCA